TATTTCATAGCATGTGAAAAGTTGCCAAGCAAGCAGGCACCTTACCCAATGTTAAGTGATTATTGCTGCCTAAGGATGTACATATATACAAGACTTAAGGCTGCAGATGACTTAAAAACCTTTGAAAAAAGTTGCCTCACTAATCAGACGATTCACATAAGTATAATTCATTCTGGTTTTCTATGAATGCCGAGTCAATTTCCCGGAGAAACCTGCCCATTCGTGCAATAGTGCAAGCTGTAACGTAGCATTAGAGTTTCTTCTTTTTGAATATTCCCATTTATCATCCCTTATTAATAAATAGTATTACCCACTTAACCATCTTAAAAGATTAATTAATATGATTTGTGATTAACATTAACAAAATAACGGGTACCCGCCAAATACAATCAATAACGAAATTGACGTATAAGTATATAATTTTTATGCAAACCACATCCCTTGAGAATTTTCAGATTTTCTCGGTCTCCTTAGAGTGCAAAGTAGGCTTTTTATCCATTTCGTTTCGCCCATGCAAAACGCGTCGTTCACAAACTCTCCCTTTCGATGCTGAACTTGTAATTGAGTTAAGCCCAACCAATTCAATGCTCCACGCTTTTGTAATTTCAATGAGGCGGAACGAATATATAAAATGCCTTATAGAAATTTTGGACGCCAGATTTGCATAATTGAGGTGAAACCTCTTTTTAAAATAGCAAATCTTTTGAGCAAAAACTGGCTATTGATGATCACAGCAAATGAAATGATCAAATGTTGAATAAATATAATAATATATCATTGTTTGTATAGGGTGAATCTGCACTCTATAAATGGTATATATTATATAATTAAAGCTGCAGAAGGGGGAGGAGGGGTGTAATCAACGGGTATCGTTAGTGCAAATGGTTAGTTTTGGATTGCAGAAATAATAAAACTGCAGATATATGTTGACGTGTAATTAATGCTTTCATTGTCTTTGGAGACACAGCTATGCTTATTAGATAATCGTAACATTTACACTCTTCTTTACTTACCAATGTAGTACAATATACATGACTTATAGTTACAAGATCGATAAAATAACTATTGTCCTGAACAACCATTCGATAAGAACCGTCAGCATTTGGAGGATTATATATTAACAATTATTGTTGTTTTTTCTTTTTTTTTTAATTTCGACTACTGACAAACAATGGTGTATATGTAATAAACGGTGAATGACTTATGTAAACGGTTATGTTTCAAATTTTTTGAAATGGACGATCACATTAATTGCAAGCATAAGTCGTACACGATCGTTTTAGCAATTAATTACTGTAAGAAATATTAATTTTGCATATCAATGGAATTGATATACAATTTTTAACCGACTTCAAAAAGGGAGGAGATTTCTCTATTCGACCGTATATATTTTAATTTTTTTTATGCGTTTTCGGGGATAACTTCATCATTTATGAACTGATTTTGATGATTCCTTTTTTTTGGAAAGGGGATATCCCAAGGGTGGTACCATGATAAGGAAACCCAGATCTGATGATGGCATCCCAGAGAAATAGAGGGCAATCCTCAAACGTTATAGGTGTTAACAATGCTTTTAGTTTCCTGTTTGAAGTCGATTATTTTTTTTTTGTCAAAATTATATACGATAACATTTTTTAAATAGCACCTTTAACCCATCATCTACCCATCACTTGTACTGAAAAATAACATATATGGTGCAGATTATTTGTGGCAATATTTTCAAAATTTTAATAATTACTTGTTTAAATGATGACCCGGTATCGCCCGGTAGTTAGCCATCAATTGATATAATAAATATATCTAATAGTACATTTAGATGATACATTTTTTAAGTTGAAAATTTCTGAGAAACGCCATTTAATGCAATTCCTGTAACGCCGTAGAAAATGCGTCAAATATTGTTGAAATTATCATACCTTGGCTCAAATCCAATCTCGAGGAGTAATACAGATATTCATAACACCCGCGTTGAAGATCTGCATAAACACATAACATTTAAGTTTAAGCTGAACATAACGGAAAAAAACTGATAATACACGAAATTAAAATTTTTGCTTTTGATATTATTCTTTTTGGGTAGTTTTAATAGACTTTTGTTTTAATAGAATTGTTTTAACAGCTTTACGGTCCACTTTTATAAGGTAAAAGAAATCTTTTAGAAGGAAAGGCCAAATTATTTTAATTAAATTGATTTATAACACTTAATGTTGTGGTTTAAAAGTAATAAAATACCTATGGACGTCTGGTTTTATCCCTTAAATCCGTCGGCTGTTCAAACTTTTATAAGCTTTGAGGCTTTATAAAATTTAAAAACGCATATCATTTGCTTAAAATAAAAAATTAAATAAATTTAAGACCAGCTACTTTTTATTAACTTTTCTTATCAGTAGATTTTTTATTTATTACAGCATTGTATCACGGTGCTACGTATTCTTATACAGAATTATCACAAGTGCTTAAACTAATAATTCAAAAGTATTAATGTTAAAAACAAAATTGTTTAAATATTAAAAAACAACATTATGAAATTCCTTGCACCATTTCATGATCCGAAGTACTTGCTTGACCTTGAATTAGTTGCATAACAAGTACATAATTTTTAACAAAAAAAAGGCTTCAAACCGAAGACTAAAAAACATTGTTAAAACATTTGAGGATTGCCGTCGAGTTCTCTGGAATGTCATCATCAAGTTCGGGTTTCCTTATCATGATACCATCCTTGGGATATCTCCTTTCCAACAAGAAAAGAATCATCAAAATCGGTTCATAAACGACGAAGTTATCCACGAACACACATAATTAAAAATAATAAAATATATAGGATCGAATTGAGAAACCTTCTTTTTTGAAGTCGGTAAAAAAAGAAAAGTTGCAGACTAAGAGGTCCTGATTGAAGGTTTAACCTTTACGTACGGTTGACTTTGTTCATGTGAATTTGACCCGAAAGTATTATTGACAAAAAGTTAATACAATACCATCTTACATACAATTCAAATGAATACGACAGACAGGTCCTTTTCGTGTACATGTAAAAAATATACTTAATATAACTTCTTAATTTGCAATTCGTAATTTTTTTAAACTTATTTTATAACTTTATCCTGGGTTGTGAGGACGTTTTACAAAAATAAACTTCACGTGGACAAACACCCATATGAAAACAATCTGTGGGTCGCACAAATAGATGCATCTTGTGGGAATCGAACCCACGACCCCCGACGTCTAATTTAATACCTTGGCAGCTGCGTCACAGAGTCGTCAATTATGTATGGTAAATGTCTTATATAATGTGAACATGTACAATACAAAAGAGGTATAATATTATATAAGATAATTAAAATGGCATACAAGTTACATATCGATTGTAGGTTCTTATTAGCTACGGTAGTCGACACCGAAAAGACTAACAGATACAACGGTCATACAAATATATTGTGTGAATATGCTTTAATAAGTTCAGTAACGCAGACACCTCACAATAGACTCGCAAATAATTACATGCATTAACGTTGCATGAAAACAGTAGGCTGAATCTGCAGATTTAGGTTGTGTAAGAAAAACATACCTTTTACTTAGAACATAATTGACGTTCTTGGTTACAAAACTTTGTTTTTGGGCTCATTATGAATAGATCAGAAAGTTAAGCTGTATTGAACATAGGAATGGGAGTAGGTAATACCTACCGTATAACTCCTTTTAATCTTGAACTCACGTAGACTATGGACGAACTTTAATTTCACTCAAAAGATGGAAAACTTGGACAAGGCATCGCTTTTTCTAGTTCCTTAGGGCTTGTCAAACAATAGTTGATTGTTTTGCATGAACAGAGAGCGTTGTAGGGATCGGGAATAAACTTCAACTTTTGGAGCAAAATAATAATTCTATGTACATTATAATTATGTCATCTCTCCCTTATAAGTTCGCCGATGGAAGATTCTTTATATATTCTAGTTAGGCAAGAATTAAATTACATTCTGAAAACTATCACCGACTTCGTAACTTTTATGTTAGATTTTGAGTATACCTTAGGATGACATTCACCTTGGTTACTCTAAACTCTTTTCTCGTAAACAACTTAACAATTAACATATTAAATCAACAAAAACTGAAATCTGAACGCTCAGAAAGTTAAGGAATACTTCAGCATTGCTTTCAACTTTCTGAAAAACTATATCGACAAGGAAAACGATACCGAAAAATTAACGAGAACATAAAGAAACCTATGAAATTTGCGAGAAATCAGAGAAGCCCCAAATTTAGAACCAGAAGAAATAAACAACTGTATATTTTAAATTTACTTTTTAATTTATATTTAATATTTATTGTATATTGAAATTTTAATAAATATGGTAACAAAGTAATAAATGTCACCCGACCCCTTAAAAATCTTTGATAGATAATATTTTTATTTGCACTATAACTAAGCTCTGCTAAACTCTCTTATAAATTGAGCTTTCATCCACTAATCATTCAGTATCCGTTGTTGAGTTAGGATAATAGTTGTAGGGTTATATATACACTACTTCAGGGTCTATTACAGTTTTAATATCAGCGTATTGCTCGCTTGGTTATTTTGGACAACAGGAATAGTGATGAAAACCGACACCGTTTAAAATTATAAGTAATGTTGAAGAGACATTATTTTTTTATAATTAGGGACATTGATCACAGATTGAAATAATATCACAGGCTTATAATTTGTTAATATGGACTATTGAATTAAAACATTATCTTTTTTTTGTTACAGAATGCTTAACGGAAACACTAGCGCTTTTCGTAACAAAAATAGATAACAAAGTGAGTGGTTGTTGTTTGCTTACAATAATGACTATAAACTTAAGTGAAACGGCATGTGAACATAGTTTGCTCCAAATGTGACATTTTAAATTAACAGTGCCAAAACAATGTTTTGCCGCAAAGACCTAAAACTAATCTATGCTACTGTTGTTATTTTACTTGAAGCAGAATTATTAGTAAACACGAACGCTATGGAGTCGCAGATGTCTTCCAATTCTATTGCACAAAACAGTGACGATTACAAATCGTTAGAATTATGCACCACAAGAAATCAGCAAAGGTTGGGCAGCGTATTCGGTAATTTCACGAGACATCATAAGAAAGGTAAGATTATGAATATTTTATTAATGAATATTTTTTGTTAGTGGGTCTTATGGGTTTTATCCAAGATTTGATTAGAATTTCCATTGTATAGAGTAAACAGAAAAATAAATGTCAATCCAGTGATATAAAAAAAGAAAAGAAATGTGAACAAAATATTTGTTCTCAGGTCACAGAAGAAGAACAACTACGTCAACTACTTCGACTCAAACTACGATCATATACACTACTGAAAATATTGAGGAAACGTCAGAGGCCTACACAACTAACGCATATGTATTTAGTACTCAATCGACATTTCTGAAATTGCCTAAACCGTTAAGGCTGTCGTCGTTAATGTTAGACAAAGACTATACAGAAGATGTACATAACTTTGACAACCCCCTTAAAAAGGTGGTTAAGGATGCTGTTAGTCGAGAAAGACATCATTTTAAGCATTATGAACAGATAAAAAAAGAAATATTAATTGAATTGGACGAGGATACGTTAGAAAAATCTGTAAATAGAATTAAGAGACTATATAGAGATTCTACAGCATCGGGAATTAATAAGCTTAATAATAAATCCAATAAGGGAGGAATTTTTTTGACGGATAATTGTACCACAGTTGTCGCTCAGATTGGGACGACAGCTATATTACATTGCGAAGTTAGCGACATAACCGAAAATACGGTAAGTCCATTTGCTTTGGATTTTTGTTTAACTTTATACAACGATACACATCAGTCTAATCATATTGTAGCTAGTGATTAAAATATATCTTATTGTTTTAGGTAACCTGGATAAGACGTAAAGATTATTCGCTCCTTTCCGTTGGCCTTGTTACATACAGTGCCGATAACAGATTTTTTTCGGCCCACGGAAGACATGTCAAGGTATTGCAATCATGTAAATTATTTTATATATGGAAATTAGGGTAGTTTTCCAGTAGTAGGGAAAAAAAAGTTCGTGAAACATCCCTTCCCATTATATCTTAACACTAGTGGTTGGTATACCATTACTAGTGCTACAGACGCCGCTAGCAGGAAAACACATGTAATTATAGTAGTTATACTGACTCACTCATTATAAATAATGATTTCGTAAATAGAGGCCTTATTCCTTCATCATATTTAATCTCCTTCCTTTTTATTTATGTTTAATATCGGGACCCTACAGATGTAAAAGTATTTAAACTCTGTTTTACTCTTACCCACTTTGTTGAACTAATCTGTGTAATAAGCTCAAAATTATCTGCACAATACCATCCTTTTCAGCAGAATCTCTAGTGTTACCACCAAATGAAACGCTTGCTCAGTTGAAGTCTATAAAAAATCCGAAGCAATGTACTCCAATGGGACGTTTGTAATGACCAATGTTATTTCAGGACTGGGCACTACATATAAGATTCGCGACATCTGCCGACGCAGGTTACTACGAATGCCAAGTACCAACACATCCACCCACAAGCATATTCTTCAAGCTCATTTTAGTCGGTGAGTCTTAAAAACTTAAGTGGATAAAGAAATTCGCTTAAGATATTTATTGAAATATAGGTAACTTAAATGAATTTTAAAAAATCCGTATCCTTTTTGAAGTTATACTTCTTTAGGCGCGTTATGAAAAAATGATGAGAGTGAAATTTTAAGATGCGCGCGCATCACTGTAACAGAAAAATAACACCTTTGAAGCTGTTCGCTAAACCGCTTATTATAGATGGCAGCATATTCTCAACCACATTCGCCCGGTACAGTTCGCAATAAAGAATAAAGATGGTGCTTTCATAATTTTATTATTTATTTTTCCAGTCTTTTCAGTATTTTATTTTAATTAATTATTTGCATGCAATTAAAAACTATTTTTTAATGATATCAAAGAAGTATAACTTCTCACCCGCGTACATAAGTATACGTACTCATTTTTTTACGGTATTAAATATAACGCGGTAAATTTCGTGATAATTGTTCATTTCACTATTCTATTTATTGTTGCAGCGGCATATGCTGAAATTGTGGGGGAGTCTGAGAAGATAATCCACGAGGGTTCCATGTTGAAACTAGTGTGCGTCGTCAAAAGATCTACCGAACCGCCGTCTTACGTTTTCTGGTATTTCGAGAACCGAATGATAAATTACGACCTGAGTAAGTTCGATTATTATAAAAGTGACCAAGTAATATATTATAGTTTAATTTTTAATTTTATACCGGGACAGTGCAGTTTCCGGGTGCTTACTTTTAATTTTATGCAAGCAATGAAATGTTTATTGCTGATTCATATAAGAAATCTGCATATTTTCGAAATAGTGTGAAACAGATATATTTTAAAGACACATTGAGATATCTACCGAGCCAGTCGCCTGGTGGATTTCGCCTTTATCCCTCTGTATAGAAAAGCCTGGTCCTGCATTGGGACATATAAATATATAGGCGCTTACTTTTTACTTCCTTACTTAAATTTATGCTATATCACATATTATAGCTCGAAATGGATAATTGGAAGGTGATAAATAAGCAGCATCTAAATTATTTTTGAGCTTTGTCTATTTGTTGTATTGTATTAATATATTCATATAATAAATTTGATTTATGAATATATATATATGAAAGAAATAAGAAACAAAAGAATGTTCAGATTTATACCGCTGCCAGAAGTAGGATTATCGAAATTTTGTAGTTTTATAATATGTCTTTATTACAATGCAATAATTATGGTAACAGTCATTAGTTATTTTTATAGAAAAAGGTTTTTGGCCCTTTTTATTCATTCATAAAACGTTCTAAGAAGGGACGTAACTGCACGGTATTCACAACTCATAGCATGAGATTCACAGATATCGTACTATTTACAGAAATTCGAATCTAAGTTATGACTAGTTGACTAAGTCAGCCAAATGTTTGCTCAGTACCGTGATCAGTTACTTCAGTTAGTTAATTATCAATGGGCCTAGCGACTTCACTATCTAGTAAAAAGAACCGCATCAAGACCCGTTGCGTAGTTTTAAAGATCTAATCATACACAGGGATACACAGACAGCGGGACCACTTCGTTTTTTCTACGAATATGTAGTGGAAAGATTTTTTGGTCTTCTTCGCTATCTTACATTTAAAGAAATTGTTAATACACTTAGTTTTTTATGTGAAAAATTGGCAAAAGAGCTGGCGGTTTACTTGATGTTAAGTGATGACCGCCGCCCACGGACCTGTGCAACACTCGTAGGATTGCACATGCGTTGCCACCTTTTAATAAATTGGGCCCTGACTAATAATTTCAACAGACGAAATGCAGAAGTGTAAATTCTACTACAAGCCCGTCTACTTTGAGGTCGTGGTACCAACCCGTACGGACCTGCCCATTAGTATCCTGTATTAACTGATATTTTTGCTTTCATTCCCGAGTCTATTAAAGCTTCATCTGACACAGGCCCATTAGTGCAACAGCGAACACTGTTGCGTGGCCCTTCCACAGTTGGCGTGGTATTTCTATACTCGGTAATAAAACCATCTTACCCAGTATGTGTTTTAAATATCTTATTTCTGTGCAAAGGTCCTCCTGTTTCGAACACGTCGAATAATTATAGCATAAAACTGCAATAAACAATTTTAATGCTTACGTAACTGGATAGTGAAGTTCAGGTTACAGAAGCTAGCCCTCGAAGGCTCCGCTATTAGGCTTGTAGTAAACTGATACATTTGATGGTTGATACAACATTTCAATTATAATCACCTGTGAAATGTATGAATAGTTAAACATAACGATGTTCAAAACTCAAAATACGTTTGCTTAGATGGAGTCAGCGTAAATAATGATAAACTGATATATTTTATGGCAAATACAACCATTCAATGAAAGTCATCTATGAAATCAATGAATAGTTAAGCATAACTATGTTCGAAACTCAAAATACGTTTGTTTAGATGGAGTCAGCGTAAATAATGGCCGGCAAACAAGCGAACTGATAATAGGCAAAGCCGAACCGAGGCACGCCGGAAATTACACTTGTGTGCCAGCGAACGCCAAAGCCGCATCTGTCACCGTACATGTAGTGCAAAGTAAGTATTTCGTAATACAAACAAGTTAATCCACTGCGTGCGTTGCATTGCCTCTTTAATTATTATGTTCAGGCCTGTTACTTTTAATTCTATTAATTGAATACAAACATATAGTTATATGTTTTTACATTTTGTCCATCCCAAAATACCATTTTCGCTTACTTTAAATGTGAAACCAGATTGATCAATGCAATCAAGATGGGTTGGCTGAGAAATAAGCGTTAATTTTTAATTAATCGCAAAATATTTAAATTGACAGTAATAGGCATTCCCCCTTTTTACCTCTAGAAAATATGTATGATATAGAGATATTGCCATCAGTAACGTATATTTTGTTTCTGAAAATTAAGTATCTATAAATAAAGATGTAAAGAAATATTTTATGAAGGATTATGATATATATACCACTGAGCCCGCGACTTCGTCCGCGTGGAATTATATTATATATAATAATAACAATAAATAAAATTACTGAACTAAAAGTATTCTAGTTACTCATTTTTACATCCCCTCTCTGCCAGTGAGACTCCCGTCAAAATCGGTCCATCCGTTTTAGAGATCAGCCGGAACAAACAGACACAACAGACAAAAATTGTAAAAATGTTATTTTTATTTTGTTATACATCCATATCCATTTAGTTAACAGCAGTTATTTGAATCTTACAAACAGACACGCCAATTTTATTTATCTCTATAGATAATATTAAGCTTTTACCAGTGGCTTCGACAACCTGGTTACTTTATACAAAACAGAATTTTTAGGCGATAAAGAGTACCTTCTTAATTCAAAAAGGGCCGAATAAAGGCAAACGTTTATAAACTTGGAATTGTACGCTAATGATGCCATACGTTTTCAGGCGAGACCCCAGCGGCGATGCAGCACGGCAATTCGTCCGTTACCAAGAATCACGTTCACTGTTTCACCAGCACCATGATAGCTTTGACAGCTTTTATCTTAATAATCAAGGAACTATATCAAGAATTTGGATAACGGATACCTGTTTCATACGTGGTGGATTTGGAAATGATGTTAATATATATCCTATCCTTGTATAGTAATATTTCCTATCTACGAAGTTATGAGCGTTTTCCAGTCACGAAAACAGCGAGTTCTCCAATTTGTTATAATTTTATTAATATAAAACACGATCTCCATGTACGATGAGGTCATAAGGAGAGAGCTATTTTGATTTTAAAATAAGATACGGCGGATTTTATCTATAAAGTTGTATTTGGCAACGTTTTTTCGCTTCTGGAAAATGCTGAATTCTTATTAAATTTAAATACTTAATACAGTTGATAAATTAAAAAGTATACCAAGCGAGTACAATAATTTATCTGTAAATATATTGAGAACTATAAAGTGCGTAATAAATAAATGTAAGAAATAAGTAAATATCAGCTATATGGATTTAAGAAATAAACAAGTATTTTGAATTGAACGTGCCAACTTTGTTTGTTTTATTAAAAATTTGTACATGGTATCTTTATCACATTTTGTATTGCTCGCAAATTATGGACAAATTCCATTTTGGACGGAGTGTTCCAAACATTTTAATAAATAAGTGATGGTGGTAAATGGATTGCCGTTTTCACACGTAAACTTAAAAACACCTGGCAATCACTTTCATAATTGACAGTACACGGAGAGAAAAAGAATTTGCCATATTTACATAGATGTTATTCACGTTTTCAGATCGAATTGTATCTAGTTTTTTGATTACATAATAATAGGAGATAGAAGAATCTTTTAGGTTACTTTTAGGTTAACATTTTTTTTCTATTTATTCCAATCTATAAATATTTTGCCCTAGGTACCTCCCTAGATTCCCGAGATTACAATAAAATTTACATGTTAAATATATATAAAATTTAAATGTAATCGGCATTCCGGCACACGGGCTTTTACTCAAGCAGTCTCCATAACTGCTTTAAGAATCTATACGAGTGACCAATGACGCTATTATAACTGTGGCTGGATGAGCCACTGTTGGCCTAGCCTGAACCTCGGCATATTATTACGCGTTGTGGTAACTAAGCTAGAGGGCTCCCGAGGGAACCTCGGCTCGGGCCGTCACGCTATTAGTTTCACTGATTTGGGAGGCCGCCAAGCTCTTAGGGCGCTTTGGTGGACGCTCCATGGAGTGACTAGGCTCTAGGGTCCCCGAGAGGGGACCTCGGCTTGGGCTGTCACTCAAAACGCGTTTAGCATTCCGATTCGAGGGTCCCCGAGAGGGCCGGACCTCTGCTCAATCGGTACCTGTTATCTGGCTGGGGGAATTTCTAGAAGAGATTTCAGATCATATCAAGGATGCAGACAAGTAATTTTTTATTGAACATATTTAGTGGACGAATAAAAATCAAGGAAGAGACAGTGATATTTTACGATAATACATATTCATATTTAATATGAAATTTAGTGATATTGACACTTTGAACAAATAGATATCGTCTGTAACTGTTAAGTTGTATATAAAGATAATTGTAACAGTTAGAACAGAGATTTTCTTGAAAGACCTTATTTATTTTATTTGTTTGAAAACTAATTTATAACCTACAGACGTTAATAACGATTAAATTTTACTGCCTCGGGAGGGCATGGTTGAAAATTTTTATGACTTAATCGTCTCGGGGGAAAGTTTTATTGCCAGCCCGTAAAGAAAGGAAGCGGTCAAAGTTTTAGTTGATTTCGAAGTGCCACTAGATTGTCATAAAAAGTTTAAAGTGTCGTAACGAAAGCGATTTAGGTAGAATGGTTTATAAGACTAACTACATCTAAGTGAATTACGATAGTATGGGGTACTGACGGATTAGTACGATGTTTAGAGTAAAGAATATAGATGATATAGCAAGCAATTTGAACTTGAAATATCACAGACACGAGAGATGTCGCCATTGCTTTTTTTGCATGCTGGCGACATCTCTCGTCCGAGTTATCGTTGTAAAACGATATTCAAAATTGTTTGTATACTGGAAAGGATATAATAATAGATGCGCCAAGCATTGCTTCAGTGTTTTTCGCACTTTTTATACAAGTTTTAAGAATACAATAAATCTAGATCAAAATCTAGACTGAGTTGTCGAGTGCCGAAAATAGTAAAAATATTTCGTGTTATAAAAATATATCAAAAGCAAACCTTCACGTGAACGACTCTTTTCAATAAAAAAATAAAGGAAATGAGGATCTTTATCAAATATTTCAATTATTATTCGAATATCATACCCATACACTGCTTGTAGTTTTGTCAAAATGTTTGTGAGAACAGATGTAGAAGGGGTGGGTATGAATGGAAAAAGTGGAAATCTGGAATTTATACCTACTTCGTTCGGTGTAAGGTGATAACGAGAGTATTCACACACGTGTGTTTGTATAGCTCTATCGATATACATCTCTGTGTTTATATGCGTATGTTTTTATATACAAGATCATTTTTGTATTTTACAAATAGAATCATTTTCGTACATTACACTTATTATGTTTGTTGTTTGATTGCCGCAATTTCGGTTTAATGCTTAGTGAATTTGTCATGCTAACGATAAATTTGGTAATGTCGCTTTAGCGTGCGTTATGTGCGTTACGCATGACGTAAGACATTCCCTGAAAATGTTTAACTAGTGAGATAATGCATAGTAAATTCTAACACATGCACATTAAACTAAGATACCTTACTAACCTATACATAATTTTTCTTTTAAACAGTTCGGACGGGCTTGAGGTGGCCTGGCGCACGAGGCGCCTAGCCTGAACCTCGGCCTAGCCTGAACCTCGGGCTAGCCTGAACCTCGGGTCATTGATTGATAGAGCTCTCTCTATATAGGCCAAAATGCGATAGAGGGAGAGGTTTCTGGACTTAGTTCAATCCATGACTTAACTGTGAATAAAATCAAATAGTCAATACAAATTAATAATTAATAATTTAAAAATAAAATATATAAAAAATAATAAATTTCAAATCGTACAAAGATTCTACGAAATCTACCATAACGCAGTTCTGTGACCAATCATACACCATTCTGTTTCCTATATATTAATACAAATTTTAAAAAATCCTTATAGAGCTAAATGGCAATAAGGTAAGTAAACTGAAAAGATTTTTTTTATTTGAGACAGTGGCAAACGAGCTGGCAGTTCACCTGATGTTAAGTGACAATCGCCGCCCATGGGACATTTGCAACACCCGTAGGGTTGAAAATGTGTTGCCACTTTAAATAAAGTGGGCCCCGACTACCTCACTCACCAGATGAAACGCAGAAATGTAACCCTCCTACTTTACGCCGGTCTTCAGTGAGGTCATAACCGGGCGGGGGCAGGTCCGTGCAACCGTGAAACTTGTAGTGTGGCTCTTCCACAGTTAACGTATATTTATAATTGAATAATTTTATATAGGCCCATCTGCCTTATATCAAAATTTTCTTTCATGATAAAATATTTATTACTAGCGACCCGCCCCCGCTTCGCATGGGCGCAATGTATTATACAAATAAACCTTCCCCTCGAATCACTCTATCTAGTAAAAAAACAGCATCAAGATCCGTTGAGTATTTTTAAAGATCTAAACATACATAGGGACATACAGCGGGAAGACTTTGTTCTATACTATGTAGTGATGAAAGAAGCAAACAGGCAGATGGTTCACATGATGTTAAGAGCTACGTGAATGGACATTCTAATTCGTTTGCTGCTAAGATGTTAGAGAGTGGATCCCGTTAGAACACTAGACGATATGCAAATGCAAAAAACAGTCCGGTCCAAGACCAAGAGTAGTTGCGTAGCGCAGAACTAGTCGAAATATTCTAAAATTCGAAAATGTATATATTTCATATTAAGTACTTCTTTTAGCGTGTTTATCACAAAACTCTTTTACAATGCGAGTCATGGTGTTCCCGTGGCAACCAAAAAAAATTACCCACAATTTCAAGTCATTCAATTAAGCCGTTATCATTTGTACAATACTATTATTAATACTTATTTTTTCCCAAACAAATTTTAAACCATTTTTCTTTTGTTGCGCTAAAGTAGGTAGTACATATTAAGTACACACACAGGTTTTTTGTTTAGGAGACTAGCTACGCATACGCTGTTACAATGCGACCTTTTAAATACTTGAACTAACTCCAAACACTTTGTGGGAATGGTTGACCGCAATAGGCGAATGTCCGAAATAAGTTCACTATTTTTTGCTCTGAATTTTCTGAATACCAGTATTCAGAAAATTGAATGTATTCAGAAAGTGAATAGCAGTATTTCAATGTATATTTTGTAATTCATGAGGTCTGTCCACTCTGCTATAAGCTGTATCTATCTACTAATTACACGCTTTATTTAACATTTATACCTTACCTTCTCAGATTTATAGTATTACGAGGAGAAAAGAAAACCAGCTCAAAATACTGTGAAAATAATGATGAGAAAATATTTCTTTAGTTAAATCTATACTAGTACTATTTTAGCAAAAAAAAAAAAGGTTTTACGCTTTATCTATTTAGATTTAACCTGTATCTATTTACTATTTACAATCTTTATTTCTTTTATTTGAGAAGGTGGCATGCGAGCTGGCTGGTTCACCCGATCTTGTTGACCCGGATGGACTTACCCATTCGTGCAAAAGTCGAAGCTATTGGAAGAGCCTACCACCGTAAAATTAGAACGTACCTAGCCAAGTCTGTAGTATTACTCGAAGAACAATAGATGCGCCAAGCATTGCTTCATATGCTAAAAAAACAATGTAAGTAAAAGACGCTGAGATTTTCGTCGGTGGCAATCAGCTGCTTAGCTTAGTGGCTAAAAGCGTCTGAGCGCGAATCTCGAATACGTGGGTTCGATTCCCACAGCGACGAAAACTTTCGCACTTTTCTATAAATTTTAGCCGAATATAACCAATTGAAAAGAAGACACACATTTTAGCCCTACTTTGTCAATGACTATTCGGCGCCATATCTTCTTTAGTTTGATTCACAGACGAGTTAAAGAATAGCGCAATGTAAAAA